AAAAAAGTCATGCAAAGTCCTTTGCTCTGGAATCAGAACTAGTATTTGTGGTTCTTTCAAATATGCCCTCATATTGTGGTACTTGCCCAAGGAATGATGGCTCTTTCTTTGTCTTTGGTACATGTATAGGCTCTATCTTGCGTATCTCTTCAAGAATTGGAGTTTTAAGTACCTTCTCTTTTCCGATAGGAAGCATTTCCATATCTTCATCATTCACTGGACCCCTTTGCCATACTGCCATTTGTGTTGCATGAAAGGTATTTTGTCCATCCAACGTCTCTTCTAAGATGTCAACATTGTCAGCAGAGAAGTGTGAAATACTTGTATCTATGCGTCTCACCACATCATAACTAACTGAATGACAAGATCCATGTAGCAGATCAATGAGTTGTTTAGATCGAGTAGCCTGATGAATAGTCATTCCAAGCCCAATATGCTTTGGTGTCAATTTCTTCCCACCTGATACGCCATAAACAATATCTTGACCAATGCTGTAAAACCATTTATTGACATTTTTGGGCATGTTCTCAGTTGAGATCTCGTCTTCACAGTAGACTGCATCACCCTCAAACAGAAGTCTAAGCAATAGAAACAGACTTTCTGGAATTACAGCTTTCACATGGTCTTCGTCAATTCCATTCCATGACTGATGTCCAGGTAGTTCTTTCAGGTCTTGTCTGATTTTCATTGCAACATGGAATAATGATTTGACAAACTCGTTTTCCTCATCTGGTTCGAAAGAATTGCGAAAATCATCCTCTTCTTCTTGCACAACAGTGCTCACCTTTAAAACTGCATTTTTGGAGTAGTCCTTCGAGAAGATTAGAAGAGGTTTCTGCTGGTCAAGAGGTCGAACAAAATCTGCTGTATCACCCAGGGCTTTTGATAGATCTTCCTTAAAGCTGGCTTTCCGAGAAACATACTTCTGTTGAGGTTTGTCTCCAAACAATTCTACAATATCTAAGTATCTCTTCCAAACTACATCCATGCTGTACACATTTCCTCTTGAGAGAGTAACTTTCACCTCAGCTATTAACTTATTGAATGACCTATCTTCTGATATGTTTTCTTTCTTGGCCTTTTCCACTTTTCTCATGAAATCAGAATAGCATCTCAAATGGTACTTTCCTTCAGCTGCCATTAAATCATTCACACCTGCAAGACGTACTGAAAGCTGTACATCATGATGTACTCCAGTCAAAATTCTCTTAGATGCATTAAACGTTGCAACATTCCTGAGAAAAGATGTTTTCCCAGCTGCTTGACAAAATATACACAATTCCCAGTTTACTGATGGAAGAGAACTTCTTGACCGTGGTCGTTCTGTTGTTTCTTTCTCATCAATTGCAGTTGATGAGTTACTTTGACCTTCATGGTGTTGCTTTAATCTACCTATTTTATTAGATGATGTGAAAGACGAGTAACAATCTTTGTGCCAGACAAATGTTTGGTTCCAATCAGTTATGGTCTCTAAACGATCAAGTAAATCTATATTTGGGTCATCATATTTCCTTCTGAGAGTAATAATAT